CCTCTGGACTGGGAATCTCTCGGAGTCCCCCAGGACGAGCTGGAAGGTGTCGCTGGGGATGTCTGGGTCTCTCTGCTGCTGCCCCCGCGACCCGATCCCGGATAAGCCGGCCGGACGGACAATTTGTATTGTTGGTCTAAATTATTACATTTAAAATTATAACTCTAATTCAAGCAGAATAGCCTACCGTCAACATAATTATGGAGTGTGATTTATTTTCAACTCAAAATATCTTCAAACTAACGAAATATAAAGTTACTAGTGAAGAAAATCTGTCTGGATAACAGCAGACTGACTGCTCGTAAAATACACGACAGTTCTGGACCACTCGTGAATTTTGTTCGTATCTGAAAAAAATCTTAGAATACGAAAACATTGGTGAATGCCACAAATTCTCCTAAATTACTTGTACGCACAACTTAAGAACAAATCTGTGCGTACGAACGGTTCTTGCATGAGGCCCATTTTGTCATAATATAGGACAAAATTTCAGCGGCCACCCTTGGTAGAGATTTAAAACCAGCTTAAAAATGACAGGACAGAGGATTGGTTCACCTTTCTTCCCTTTGCTTCTCGTAGTTTTCCAGGTCAGGTCTGATTTGCCTGGTGAGTCTCTGGTACTGTCGGAACTGGGCTTCTGCATAACCTGTAGTGTTTTTTTTTAAAACAGGGTTGTGGGGGAGAAAGAGAAAAATTTAATTAGTGGAACAAACAACAAGCAGGCACGAGGCTCAGCAACACAACCTGCGGCTAGTTAAGGAGGTCTACAGAGGCACCTCTCCTCCTGTCCTCTCTTGAAGCCCCTCTGGTGATCTTTTTCCTTCCAGAGGTTTTAATTCAGGGGAAAGGTTTGATGCAACAGATGGCAGCCACATTCAGGAGACGCAGCAAACTTTTTTTTTTCCTTCAGCAGATTAAATTAGAACCCGTTTTAAGTRATTTGCATCCACATTCTTACATGCAGCCAGTATTGCTTTTTATTGTGCTACCACGTAAAACTAAAGCAGTTCCATCTTGTTTTTGTGTTAAGAAGAATTAGGAGACTCCTCAATCACAGGCCGAATAACAGCAACAAAATGAACAAAATCTGTGTAACATTTTCCACAACAGTCAACAGTATGAAGTACTATTTTCTACATGAGTACAATAAGGTTTTGTAGCGTGAGAAGACTACCTTTACCCAAAATAAAACTGTTTGATCTAACTGCAGATTGCTTCATTATTACTACCTGATACAACTGATAACTATTTTAGTATGTGAAACAGTGTTTAGTAATAAAGTTAGATGTTAAAGATTTTTGTGGGACAGAGCAATGTTCAATCAGATTAGATCTTTATCAGCTGAAGCTAAATAAGACTGCCGTCAGTTGTCTGTGCTTCAAACTAAAGTGAATCACACAGTAAATAATTTAGTAAATTGAATATGTGGGTGGTGACTTGTGTAATCAGGGAATGGCATCCTTGTGGTTTCTGAGTGCACGCTGGGCTGGATGGAACATGCGTGTGAATCTCAAAGTAAATTCAGTGAGTGTTCGCTTCTTCATACAGACTTGATTCATGTGGCCATATTTTCTGTCTTAAACAAACAAAAACCCCTCAATGGTTTTACTGTATGTTTTGTTTTGTTTCCGGGGTTGAGTAGACTTATAAAAACTTGGAAAACAGCAGAATAAAAATGTTTTTAAAACACTACAGGTCATCTAGACAGCTTTTTATAAAAGTCGTGTCAGATTGTAAATGCTTCATGAATTCATAGAATTTTTTTAATTATGTACTGATTTAACAATGTCAAAAAACCAGTAACAGGTTCTGTTAATTATATTCTGCCCCTTTTCCCAATTCAGCAACAAACTTTGACAACATGTGCAAACTGTTGAAAAACTGTCAATTTTAGAAAGTGTACAAAATATAAATTAAGATGAAGAAATACAATTAAGTGGGAAATTTGTTAGGAAACAATTTCCTCAGTACTCAAGAGTAACACCCCAGCCAATTTTCAGTCATTTTCAGACAATTAAACACATTTATTTTATCATGTATTAGGGACAACGTAGTTTTATTGGGCACACAATATTCATTAAGATTCTTTTCAGACATATTTATAAAAAAGAGAAAAGGAAGTCCTGATATTCCTGGAAGATAAACAACTTCTTTTACTTTAAGAATCACACTTAACTGGTGTCCAGTCAGGGTCTAAGTTTGATGACAGCAAACAAAGAAAGTAGCTTAATGATTGAGTCCAGAAGACAGCTGTTGTGCCCATGACATCAAACTGCATGTGCAGTAACAAGAAGTGATGACAAAGGGTAATGCATGACTGTAAATATTGTGTTGCTACAATGGCTAACAACACAGGCAACAGCTGTAAATCTAGCATTCCTCTWTATAGTTTTGGGTGACTTCCTGTTTCAGTTTGGCTGTGCCAAGTTAAAAAAAACTATGCCAGCTATGTGACAAAATGGGTAAAATCATATGTATTAGGTCCAATTTCTTAAATGTTTTCTTCTTTGTAGGAAATGCATGTCAAAAGCATTTTAACCTTTAATACCTGTCCCATGCTCTGTATATTGTGCATCATTTCATCTTTTTGTAAAGCCACAAACCTGCAAATCCTGTGTCTGGATTCTTCTTCTTTTTCTTCCTCTCCCATCGCTCTGCTTCATCAGCAGTGACTTCCAGCAGCTTCACTCTGTTATAATCCTCCCCACGAGCAGCACATTCCTACGAAGGCAATAATTGTGAAGGACACAAAGTCAGCCAGCCAGCCTTCTGCTGAGTCTTTTCTAGRTGCTAAACATTTTGAGTTCAGCTAAAGTCTGGACTCTGGGATGGCCGATCTATGTGCATCTGCAACCTAATGAATGCAGACATCTTAGAATACATATGTGGCATTAAGGGGAAAAAAAAATCTATGAAAAAATCTGCAATTGCAACAGGCTATTAATTAGTGTTTAAACATACAATCTAAAATCATCTGTGATTTGCAAAGTCGTTTTGTAGCCATTTTTTATTCCTTTAATTAGGTGCCGTTTATATTCATGAATCATAAATTATTTTTCTAAGCATGTCTGGGTACAAGGATCGAGCTGAAAAGCAATAAAAGGCAGTATTTTCCAGACAAAAAAGAGGAACATAAATAAAAAAGTTTGCCTCCTTTGAAATAAATATGAGTAAAGTCTTTAACAAAGGAGGAAATTGCAGCAACCAAAAAGATACCTTCTTCTTCTCATCCTCAGCAAGCTCCCACTCTAGACGGGCTTTTTTAGCTTCCCAATTTGTGGGAAGCTTCAATCTCTTATCCTCCTCCACAACCTCCTGGTGGTTCAGTTTTCGAGCTTCGTTCTGTAGTGAAATCAACAAATAATATCAAAATACAGACAGTCAAGTGGATATGTTGAGACAATCCAGAAAGTGCACACAAACGTGAGTCGATAAACTCCACACAATAACTGCGTCATAACCAAACCTGCCATCATTACACAGCGCTAACTTCCACGTACTTGACTAATAAAGCTAAATGGATAATAGGAACCTATTATTAACCTAATAAAGCTAAAACAACTGACCCGTTTAAAATGAAGCTCTCTGAATTTACGAAGCCTCGCTTCTCTCTTCTCGGAAGCTAGGGTTTCTGTCGGTTCTTCCTCAGTATTCGTGGCAGTTTCCTGGAAGTAAAAACAAGTTACCTCACTGTGAACCAGATTTGACAGTAATTCATGCTGTTAAAAACCGACAGTTGTCCGCTACACCGCGGACAAATGAAAACATTTGACAAACATACCTTTAGTTAGCATTTTTGCTAACTAAGATTAGCTTATGACAGTTAGCTTAGCATAACGACACGAGATCGCAAATCGGATACGATATTTCTCYGACAGATCAACACAATTTTTTAAAATAAACGTAAGAAAAGGTATTCCTTATCTCTACAAAATGCTGGACCTAACAAATAAAACACAAAATACCAACCTCGGAACACGACGCCATTGTAGTTGTTGTTTTCTGAGAAGGAAGGCAGAACGGAAATACGTCATTCATACCGGATATTACGGAAAAGCATCGGAAACAGAAAAAAATACATAAAATGTAATAACAATTATTATATTATATTATATTATATT